TAGCGTAATGTCTATGTCGCTGGATTCCCACGTAGTCGACCACGGTTCGTGTCCTGGACCCAGTGGCTTAAAACTCACGCTGGGTGCGTGTGCGTGCGTGCCCAAGATCCCGAGAGGAGAATGGAGGAGAAGGGATTGCGGCGTGACCATCCCCCTGAGGGGTGATTTCTCGCTTTCTGTCTCTCTGTCTCTCTCTGTCTGGCGAGCGCACGCGCCCTATAGCAAAAACCTCTCCAAAAAAAGAAAGGTCCATTTAGAATTTAAAATGTGGTGGGACCAGCAGTTAGCATAATGGCTGTGTCGCTGGACTCCCACGTAGTCAACCGCGGTTCGTGTCCCGGACCCGGTGGCTTAAAACTCATGCCGGGCGCATGTGCGTGCGTGCCCAAGATCCCGAGAGGAGAATGGAGGAGAACGGATTGCGGCGTGGCCATCCCCTCTCGGGGGTGATTTCTGCTTTCTATCTCTCTGTCTCTGTCTGTCTGGCGAGCACATGCGCCCTATAGCAAAAACCTCTCAAAAAAGAAAAAAAAAGAATTTAAAATGTGGGGTGCCACTGGTGGAACATTGGTGAACATAGCTCCCTTCCAAACTGTTGACCCAGGTTCGATTCCTGGCCAATGCAACTCTCTGGGACCAGCAGATTGCATAATAGCTATGTCACTGGATTCCCATGTAGTCGCTGCGGTTCAAGTCCTGGACCCAGCAGTGTGAAACTCACGTTGGGCACGTGTGCATGTGTGCCCAAGATCCCAAGAGGAAAATGGAGAAGGGATTATAGCGTGGCCATCCCCCATGGGGGGATGATTTCTTTCTTTTTTTTTTTTTTAAGAATTATTTTTTAACTTATTTTTTTTTATTTGCCCAGAGAGAGACAGAGTGAGAGGGAGAGGGAAAGTGAGAAAGCAAGCCCCCAGGTTCGAGACTCGAACCACGGTCGACCATATGGGAGTCCAGCACTCTTAACCACCTTGCCATCTGCTGGCCCCATCTTGGGGATAATTTCTCACTTTTGGTCTCTCTGTCGTTCTGGTGAGTGCACACACCCTATAGCAAAAATCTCTCTTAAAAAACAATTAAAAAGTGGACATGCTCACCTTGGCTGTAATTTCGAAGGTCTTTTCAGGATTTATCAATTTTATTATTTGACTCAGCAGGATGGTGAATTATATTAAGAGATTTCCAAATATTGAACCGTGTCTTCATTTCAGGTATAAATCTTTTTCATTGTGGTGTGTATAAATAAATTTAGATGCTATCATAGGTTGCATGCACTCACTGGAGAGAGACAGAGACAGAGAGAGGGAAGATGAGAAATCACCCCCCAGGGAGGATGGCCACGGAGCAATCCCTTCTCCTCCATTCTCCTCTCGGGATCTTGGACACGCACGCACATGCGCCCGGTGTGAGTTTAAGCCACTGGGTCCGGGACTTGAACCGTGGTCAACTACATGGGAATCCAGCAACATAGCCATTACACCAACTGCTAGTCCCAATTGTGGCATATTTTCAAAACGCATTACTTTAGGGGTCAGCATGTGGCGTGGTGGTTAAAGTCGCTGGACTCCCACATGCCCAACCATGGTTCAAGTCCCGGACCTGGTGGCTTGCTTTCTCGCTTTCTCTTTCTTTCTTTCTCTGTCTCTTTCTCTAATAAAACTGGAAAATAATAATAATAATAAATAAAGTTAAGTAAAATCATTCTTTTTTTAAAAATGCATTAAAAAATGCATTCCATGGTACTCCTTGTTAAAATTCCATCTAGGAGTTTTGCACCTTTCTGGTGAAGGTACAAAAATTCATCTTCATCAATTTTAGGTGTCAAGGACATGCTGGCTTCCTACAACGTAATTCCAATCTTTTTTTTTTTTTTTTTTCTTTTTGGTATAGGGTACATGTGCTTCCCAGGCATAGAGAAGGGGAGAGAGACAGAGACAGAAAAAGAGAGACAGAAAGCACTTTTCAGGGGTGATGGCCACACCGCAATCCCTTCTCCATTCTCCTCTTCAGATTTTGGGCACGCACGCACACGCACCTGGTGTGTTTCTCAAACCGCCGGGTCTGGGACTCACACTGCACAGTCTGCCATGTGGGATCTGGCATCCTTCACCGCTGTGTCACCTGGTTGGCCCCCAATGATCCATTTTACAGACAGGATAAACTGAGGCCCAGAGAGGGACAGTGCCCCTCTAAGTCACTCTCAATCTCAAGCCAGTGAGAGTTTAGGACCTCGGGTCATATCGGTAAGATGACGCCACTTTGGTGTTTAGACTTCAAAATACCAGGACTTCAAAATATCAATTTGACACTGTCACTTCGCATCCTGTTTCCTCATCTGTGGAATAATCCCTATATGGCTGACCACGGTTCGAGTCCCGGACCTGGCAGCTTGCTTTCTCACTTTCTCTCTCTTTGACCCTCTCTCTGATCAAATTAAAATAAATCAATATATCAATAAAGGTAAATAAAATAATTCTTTTTTTTTTTTTGAGAGGTTTTCGTTATAGGGCACGTGTGCTCGTCAGACAGACAGAGAGAGACAGAAAGTGAGAAATCACCCCCGGGGGGGATGGCCACGCTGCAATCCCTTCTCCTCCATTCTCCTCTCGGGATCTTGGGCACGCACGCACACGTGCCTGGTGTGAGTTTTAAGCCACCGGGTCCAGGAAGCGAACCACGGTTGACTACGTGGGAGTCCAGCGACATAGCCATTATGCTAACTGCTGGTCCCAATAAAATAATTCTTAAAAAAAAAAAAAAAAGGAATAAGAAGAAGCCCTGTACGGTTGGGAAGACAGAATCCAGTGTCGTTTCCATCGGGTTTCAGTTCACTGCGGCTTTGATGGGTGTAGACCGACCATCTCATCCTTCATGGGCACCTGTATACACGTCCCTGCGGGGCCCCGCTGTGTCTGTCCTCCTGGCTCCAAGCCCCGTCGTCCTGGGCGCTGATTCAGCCCCGTGCACGCCGCGCCGGCCGCTTGCAGCCCCCCGAGGAGCCTGTGCGCGATCGAGATCGGGCGCTGGACCGCGGTCGGGACCCTGAGCGGGGCCGGGGGCGCGATCCCCTGCGCTGAGAGTCCAGCTCAGCTTCCAAGGCCGTCCTAGGAAGTGAGGACAAGGCGTCAGCGCCTGGACGCCTGGCCCCAGAAACCCCTCATCCTCCCTAGCGGCCCTTTCCTGAAAACTCTACCCCAGAGATCCCATCCTCCAAGCACCCCTATTCTCTAGGGTCCCCCATCCGTTTTCCAGCCCCAGGAATGTCCAAAACACAGCTCCAGGTATTCCCAGCACAAAGCTCCGCCCCCAGAACCACCTACCACTCCCTCCAGACTCCCTTTTTCTTTTTTTTTTTGGAGAGGTTTTTGCTATAAGGTGCCTGTGCTCTCCAGAAAGACGGAGAGAGACAGAGAGACAGAGACAGAAAGTGAGAAATCACCCCCGGGGGGGGGCGGGGGGATGGCCACATTACAATCCCTTCTCCTCCATTCTCCTCTTGGGATCTTGGGCACGCACGCACAAGCCCCTGGCGTGAGTTTAAGCCACCAGGTCCGGGACTCGAACCGGGGGCAACTATGTGGGAGTCCAGCGACATAGCCATTATGCCAACTGCTGGTCCTCAATACTTCCTTTTTCTTATACCCAGCTGTCCATCAGTCCTCCAGAACCCCACCCCCAACTGCACTTGATCTCTGCGACTCTCCCAAACCGGAGACCCTGCACCCTAGAACGCCCCAGGTCCCCAGCCGTAGATTTCCCACTCTAGGACCCTCAAGCTTTTCCGAGGCTCCGCCCCACGACCACGCCCCTCTCTCCCACCCGCCCTAAGCCCCGCCCCTTACTTACACGCGCT